GAGGAGGCTTGGGGAGAGCAGCTCCGTACCGCTGAAACGACGGCTTCGTCTGACTGAACGCAACGTTTCCACTGTCCGGTCGCTATTGAGCCCACAGGATGATGACATCTCGTCGAAGGTGGAGGAAGGATGCGGAGGAGATGTGCCGTCGCTCAGCATCGGGATCGGAATGTTCCCCGGCCCGTAGTACTGGAAAAGCAGCCTTCTGGTCACATTGATCCATCCCGCCTTCGGACCTCTGAGCTGGGTTGGCAGCCTTTTCCATCTTGCCACCGGAGCGCTCATGAAGCTTTCTGTCGATCGCGGTTCTAAAACAGGCTTCGTAGCTGAATTCCACAAGAGATGGCGATTCGACATCTTTCGACCAAATGACATCGAGTTCGACGTTTCTGACTGAATGTTCTCCGCTCTCAAAGAAAGAAGCAAGCCAAGGGGATCGAAAGGGAAAAACGCTCTGCTCAAAGAAGGTTTCAAGGAGGTCAGGAGTGAAATCATCCCTGTGAACTGCACTGCGAAAAACTGGCCTGCCAAAAACATCAGTGGTCCACCCTTCAAAGTCCGGTCATCCAATCGTCTCCAAGACAAAGCTTTCAACGCACGACCGACGAGCGCGATCAGAGCACAAGTATCCTCGAGGCGCATCGGGTGAAAAAAGATTGAATGCACCAGGCTGAAGATTGAAAGCCTGTTGCACCTCATCTGGTACTGGAAAGACTCCTCCCTTCCAGCTGGCTATGTCCAAAATTCTGTGTCCGGAGAGCAATCTCTTCATGAGTGCCTTGCAGCCGAAACGCCTAAACGTGATCTCTCCAGAGTCGGTGTCGATCACCGAGCCTGCATGTTCAAGCAGGCCTAGGAGAGCAAATGAGGAACGTCACCCTCTACCACGATCAGCCGCACATAGCCGCACCAGTCCCGGTTGCCCTCCAAGGACACAAGGAGAAAGAACGGTCTTCAGCACTTTTGCATTGAAATTGCCTCCAACACCAACTTCATTCAACCTTCGTTCCAGGTCCTCAAAATGCTTCTCGCCAATGAGGTCTTGGGCGGCGCCAGGATGGCGTGACCCGCTGGGATGGCGAAGAACTACTCGCTGGCATAGCTTCTGAGGCCAGTACCGAAGAAGGTTCTGAAGGATGATCCGGCTGGATCTCGCTCTCCCAGGTAGACAACCCTTCTCATCGATTAGACCCACCCTTCTTCTTGGAGCCTGTCTGGAGAGAAGAGCTGGCCTCCCCTCTCTCACGGTCTGCCTTTGACCGCTATATGGTCGAGTGCAATCTCCTCTCCAGTGTCCGCGAAGGTCACAATTAGAGCACCTGGTGATCTTCTTCAGCTCGGCAATGGGAAGCCGCCTTCGAGGAAGCGGACGTTCCGGCCAGGCCTCCTTCTCATCGATTTGTCGTCTGTCTTTCTTTCGTGCGGCCTTGAGCAACTTGTTCTCGCTCCAGGATCTCTTCTTCCCGGAGGTCTCACACCAAGCCAGGAAGTTCATGGCTTGCTCTTCATCCATGTCCTGCGAGTCGATCAGTTGGGAGAGTTCTCGTTGGTCTTCCGAGTCGTCGGACTCATCCACATCTTCGGACTGGGTTACGAAGGAGCCATCCTGATGTGTCTCTTTCTCGAAAAAGGTGGTCTTGCCGGGCTTGAAGATGGACTCTCCATCGACATCGATGACTTGCAGAGCCTTTCTCACACGCTGATAGTCAGCTCGTCCTTCCAGGAGAACCCGAAGGTTTTGGGCCGACTGCTTGCTGAGGTTGGTGCGCTTTCAGTTCGTCAGGAAGCTGAACGTATTGGGCAGCGGCTTGAAATTGAGAGGGACTCATCACTCCGTCGTGCACCCTCATACAGAGCCGCTCGAATAGTCCGCCTCTTGTCGCTATCTTCACGTTCTCCAGCGAGGACATCGAGGATCCCCAGCATCTGCAGTCAGTAGCACTCAACTGAAAGCACCTGTTCAGAAAGGTGATCAAACTTCTCCTGAAGGCTCCAGTCCATATTCTTCAAAATCTTCTCGCTGGGTGGAGTGCCCGTGTGACCACGGGTCGGCCGACTGAAGGATGTCGACTCCTCGAGAACCCCACCAGGGCGAAGACGAAGCCCCTGCAACCTGACAATTGTCAGATTGCCCCGAGCCTTCACCTCGGCGTTGGGCACCTGCAGCTGCTGAAGTCGCCCAGTTCGAGCCACTGGCCGCCAAGACTGCTGTCCCCAAGACCATTGATTCCAGAGCCGCCATTCTTCATCGGACCATTGCATAGCCGCTGAGGCCGCTGTCGTCCTTGTAGCCGTAGGCCTTGCATCAGCATCGCCGTCACCTGTCGAGCAGTATTCATCCACAGTTTGAGAGGTCTGAGTTGGAGCCCCCCTTCTGACTTTGCTGCTTTGTCCATGGCGTCGAAGACTAGTGCTCCGCTACCACTGACAACAAAGCCAGTGGTAGGGACACTTACCACACCTTTTCAACGGGCATATCTGCTATGACTACGGCGGTTCGCCAAAGCTAAGAGCCATGCAAACAAGGCGAATGAGTCTCGAAGTTTCGTCAACCGACACACGTCTCGAAAGGGAGATACTCTTTCAACAGTTTCCTGTCTTTTCCTTTCCTGTTCTTTGCTCTTATCTTTCCTTCTTTCCTTTATGTTATTGTCTTTCTTGTCTTTTCTTTCGGCGGACCTGTGCTTTTTCTACCAACAAAAACTGTCTTTATATGTATATATATATATAAATATATATATATATAGAGAGAGAAAGAGTAAAACATTCTGGAGGGCGGGTCACCTCATGTCAATTTGTTTTGTTTTGGTTGGGTTGTCACGCACTTGGAGCTGGAGTTCAACCCTCAGGCAAGCAATAGGGCGAAACCAAAGGAACCAGACCAATGGCGGGCACTTGTGGAACATACGGTATCGGGTCGTCAATAGTTTATTGTCTTTTTGGTTGAGCTGTCACACAGTTGTCACAATCTTTCGGGGAAACAACTTGAGCAAATGAATACTTCATGTGCAAAGCAGCGTGCCAAGCAAACAAATTGCACAGCACAGCAAATAGTCACAACTAGTAGAATCTAATGCAGAATAGATGCAACGTGCACATTCTGTTGACAAACCGGTTGTAGAGAACAACTGGTTGAGAAGCTACAAAGGGTACCCCTTTAAAGGGCTAATCCGCCTGATGCACGCGATCCCTAATTAGACCGAACCTTCGTTCAATTTCCTTTCTTTTCGTCCCCGAATCCGTCTGCACAAGGGCAGGCCTCGCCAAAGCTTTTATATAGACTTTCTGGACCTTATATAGATCCGACCTTGGCATCACTATAGACCTCTTATGACCTCTTTGCCAGGAGAAATATGCACCTCGCTTGGCCATCTATATATATATATATCCGCCGACTGGCCTTTGACTGCCGAATGCTCAAAGACAGTGAGCAATGCCCCAGGCCCACGAGGTTCTTCTTGCAGTAATAGCCCCTAGTAGCGTCCTTGCGCCTAGTAGTAAGGCCAGGAGCCCCTAGTAGCGTCCTTGCTCCTAGTAGTAAGGCCAGGAGCCCCTAGTAGCGTCCTTGCTCCTAGTAGTAAGGCCAGGAGCCCCCAGTAGCGTCCTTGCTCCTAGTAGTAAGGCCAGGAGCCCCTAGTAGCGTCCTTGCTCCTAGTAGTAAGGCCAGGAGTCCCGAGTAGCGTCCTTGCTCCTAGTAGTAAGGCCAGGAGCCCCTAGTAGCGTCCTTGCTCCTATCAGTAAGGCCAGGAGCCCCTAGTCGCATCCTTGCTCCTAGTAGTAAGGCCAGGAGCCCCTAGTAGCGTCCTTGCTCCTAGTAGTAAGGCCAGGAGCCCCTAGTAGTTATACCAGTATCACGTGAGTGTGGCACCGCTGAGATGCTTTGGACGCCGAAGCTCCTCAGAGACATACTCTTTGGCACCATTCCTGTATGTCACCAGACAGTTTGGAGGTGCCTATCAAACGGCCAAGCTTTGTGAGTCAAGGAAAACGTTCCATAATGAAAGCTTTGAAGCGTTGAGATTCACTGTCTTCATGTGCTCCATTTCAGCAGCCAAGCCTCACTGTCTGAGAGAGAATCGCTGAGTGGTACCGCTGATGGGTTGGCCTACGAAAAAAAGTCAACGCTGCAAGAAGAAAACATGCCCTCACACTCTCAACCGGCACAGTTCGATCACTACTCACTCATCTGATTTCTCCGTCTCCAACTACTGGAATGGTCCTTGGATGTCTTAAACACAAAAAAAGAGAAGGTTGGGGTTGGGTCCTCTTCTCCATCGAAACATGTCATGCAACTGTCTTCTAAGATCTTCTAAGACATCCAGCCAATTCGCACCCAGGATCGCTCCCTGGTGCCAACAAACAGAGCTGATGATAGTTTAAACATATATAGCTAGGGACAGTTGCAGAACTGCTGATGTCAAGTGCCGCCACAAACCTCGACTCTACTCTCAGTCTGGGCGTCACTGTGAGCATCTTCTGCAAGAGTCCCACCTCCGAGAGGCTTCAAGAGACCCAAAGGGGTAGGAAATGACCGAAGAGGCTTCGAGTGAAACGAAAAGTAGAGGAGTCCTTGGGATCACCTCAACTGGCGGAGAAATGCAGCATTGGACAAATATGGCCCTATGGCAAAGAACCTGTCATTTCCAGTCATCTTTTGCATTTCATCCCTGACACAAATACACCACATCAAAAACAGATGTGGGTGATACAGCATGGAAGGCGTCGAACGTCCATTGGAGATTGAGGCAGCCCACGTTTGCAGAGCCATGCATAGCCACATGCATTTGATCTATGTGCAAGTCTTGCACTTGTTAAACTGTCCTGCTTCTGTCTTGATCAAACGTTAGGGCCAGATGGACTTTCGTCGCCACCACACCCAGGACGACACGTGATAAAAAGAAGTGATCGATCCTCAATTTTGCACGTGTCCGCATACAACAAGGCGAAACAAAATGAAACAAGGCTCCAAAAATACTCAAGGGATCTCAAGGGCTTCAACTACACTACAAGGATCTGCATGGTACGTGCCTCCCGTCGACTACGTATTATGGACATCTCCTTTCGGAGTTGACAGTGCCGGGGATCTGTGACCTCCAGCCTAGCATACTATGCAGCTAAAGCACCTCCAGCTACAATTCTGTGCTCACATGTCGTCAAAGCGAGAAAAGCTGAAGCGTAGATTGTAGATAGAATATTGCTGGAGCTGTTGAGTGGCTTGAGGCTACCATCAAGGCTTGAAAAGTTGAGAATGCAAACCAAGCCGTGGAAAAGCCAGGTTGTCTCAGAAGCGAGCATATTAGCACGCGTAGTGGTTCTGAAAGGGACACGCGCTTTGGCACCGCACGGCGGCTTAAGCTGTTATCCACGAAGCGCTAATTCTCTTCGCATTTCCTCCTTCTCCCACCTCGCGAAGTATCAACAACTATTGCACACTATCACTGCACTTCCTTTCAGTTGACCTTCTCAAATTTGATTATATACATAATATTACATATCAACCCCTGCTTCTGTTCTTCAAAGTCCGGGGAATGAAGTGTTTCTTTGGCCTTAGCTGCTGAATCTCCATTCTCTGGCGGGTCAGCTCACCCACCAAAGCTGCCATTTGCTTTCCTCAAGTGTCTTAATTCACCGCGAAGCAAAAACCAACCCCACAAATCTTCAAGCAAAGTGCTTGTTCCGAATACTTCCTCCCAAACAAACAGCTCATTCCTTCTCCTTTTGGGTTGGTCGGCTGCACTCCATCTGGTGTGGCCTATCATATCATGCTCAACTGCAAGTGTCGCAGGAACGCTTCTCCTTGCTCCGCATGCACTTCACAGTCCTGGCAAGAGAAGCTAAGATCTGATGGCAATTAGATCACCACAGTTCCTGTTCTGGTCAAGCGGCTGTAAAGCAGCTGTACATGAAAAGTCTGCTTAATGGATTTGTCACGTCTCGTCTGAGGGGTGCTCAAGCAATGAATGGCTGCACCCGCCGACCTGACCAGGCCACGCCTCTTTTGGGCAAATCTCATCCAGGCCTCTTTCGGGCACAAAGTCAAGAACAAAAGAAAGAACATCAAGTATATTGTCTGACGTTCTACTTTCAACTCGCACAAGTATATATATATATATACATATGTGTGTGTTTGTATGCTACTACACCATCGCGGAAATGTCTCTTCTCTTGTTTTGCTGGTTGGCAAGCTTGAGAGGGTCCTGTTTTCAAAACCCAGCCACGATCAAAACACGACTATACAAGTAGTTCCCGGGCAAGCCGGCGGCGGAAGTTTCCTATAAGAAGAAATTGACCTATAGGAGTGTCCACGTTCTCTCCAACATGCGCGTCCTCCAGTCAAACGCATGCGCTCCGGACTTTTGACCCACGGGATTCCACGTGTGTAAGGTGTGTGCGCCCCCTGCGAGAGATGACACACATCCGGCCACCACGACTTGCCAAGGATGCGGTCCACATCGACACACATCCCACCGTGGCATTCTTCAGTGGCGGCAAACCTTGCATATCACACATCGGACTGAATGGAATCCGAATTTGAATGTAAAATCTGTCTTGAACTCTGAGACTATGTATGATGAGTCTTGTATGATGAGGGGTGTATGACAAGTGATGAATGATGAGTGGTGTATGTTGAGTGGTGTATGATGAGTGGTGTATGACGAGTGGTGTATGATGAGTGGTGTATGCTGACTGGTGTATGATGAGTGGTGTCTTGACCAGCAGTTGAATGTCCTGTCCTGCATAACTGCAACCAAATACAATCAGTATGAACTGAACGTGCACGCCGCGAGAGATGACTCAGCAGCGAGAGATGACTCAGTCGCGAGAGATGACTCAGCCGCGAGAGATGGCTATAGCGAGAGCTGACTCAGCAGCGAGAGATGAATGAGCAGCGAGAGATGACTCCTCCGCGTACTACACTGTTCGCCAGTACAACTCTAGTTGTACTACGAAGTCGCCAGTCCTCAGCTTCTAGCTGCACAGATTGCTCCGCGTGCTGAAGTTGTACTACAAAGTCGCCAGTTCTCATCGTCCAGTTCGCCAGATACTCCGCGCGCTAAAGTTGTACTACAAAGTCGCCAGTTCTCATCGTCCAGCTTGCCAGAT